TCACTCAAAATAACTAAAGTGCCCAACTCTACAGACACCGCAATTGTGGGGGAAATTGTTAAGAGCACATTATAATTAATTTAATTTAATTTTACTTAATTTACAAAAATATGTCAGTAACACAGTACCACAAAATCATGTGGAACATATGTGGATTTTGTTAAAATATTCTAAGATCGCGAATTAAAAATGTGTGTTGCTAATTTACTGGAAACTTTTTAGAATTAAATGTGGATGGTATTCGAAAATTTTGTGGAATTTCGTTTCCCATTTTGGACACTTGAAGCGAAGATTTACGAGCATGTAGCGTGAAAGAAAAATCGACTAACCACTGAGCAATGGTTTGTTGTGGAAGTTGATCAGTAGAAATGTGTTTACACTGAGTACGAGAAGTGGTATTTATGTGGACAGCAAGAAAATAAAGCGAGCATTTCGCATCTCCCTGACAGCTGACGCACATCGGCTAACGCAGTGACCCTTTAATACCAAATTTAACCGACCCCGCACCACCCAACGGCTAAATTTTTTGTGGAATTATTTCTTTCCATTAAAGTAATATATACATTTGTATACACACGCTCTAAATATAAAACAAATGGGACTATGCACCACCTATCTGGAACAATTTTTCGTGGAGATATTCTCTTTCATGTAAGTAATATAAATTCTAAACATGAACCCTTTCGGATCATAAATACGGTTTCAAATATCTCGACATCTACGTCACATAGCCGATTAATTTCTCTTTGATGTTATATGTATTGTCATCGGGCTCCGAGCTATGCTTGAAGTTTCAAGTCATAACATAATAAAGGCTTGAAATATAAAGTTTTCAAGATGCCGAAGCCGCTATTATTAGCAGTGGAAGAGAAAGGCCTTCTCTACTTATCAAAGATCAAGAAACTGATCAAAGGACAATTTTGGCATATAAGTAGAATTTCTTATAAAATTTATTGCGCCTATTTATTCTTTTCTTCATTTCAGCGAAATCACTCTGGTAGTTCTTTCACTTTGAGCAGAAACAGTAAAATTTGCTGCAAAATAATGTAAGGAGAATAGATTTAAGCATTATTGTCTTAATTTACTTTCGATTAATCAAGCCTCAAAGCCCACTGAACATATATATGAGCGAAGAAAAAATTTTAGCCATACAATTATCTCACTTCAACTTAGGTCGGCAAAAAAAGAAAAGAAAAATAGGAAAATTTCCAACCAGCATTCGCCACATAAAACTCATTTTTACGTTGATAGCCGCAGGAGTATCCGCCCAAGCGGCAAAACGGTAAACAAAATTAATAAAATATTTATTAACACGAGTAAATCAGCAGAAAGGGATAATGAATAAATAATGGATCAGTAGGAAAAAAATCAAACCATAACAAAACAAAAAAAAAAAATCTGCACATAAAGGAACAAAAGAATAAATACAAATAAAAACAAGAGTGTGCCGGCAATAATGTTACATTAATGGCAAACAAAATTGGCAGAGGAACGGCGAGACATGGAAGCGTAATAAAAAAGGACGAAGACAAAATGATGAAAATATAATAAGCGAGCGGAAAGGCGGCAGTAAAAATATATGTGGAGTTAGGTGGATTAGAATTTGGTAAAAAAAATGTGTATGTATGGATGCGAAAAACACTATATCGCATACCATCTTCAAAAGAGTCACAACTCAAAATTTGGCATTTTTGGAACTTTTATTTACCTATCAGCAAAAGCTGGAGCAAATTTTTTCTATAATTTGTTTAAAAAACCAAAGGCAAGGTCGCCCTTGCCCACATGATTAGCATGTGCCACGCTTTTCGCATTTTCTGACAAACGTACAATTTTGAGTTGTGACTCTTTTGAAGACGGTGTACGATATATCTAAGTATGAACGTAAGTATGTTTGTGTGCATAAGCATAAATTTGTTCTATTCAAAATAGGCGAGGGTGTGACTAAACAAGTACATATGTATATACATATCCATATTATTGCTAAGTCGATGTAAATGGGTCTCAATGGATTCATTCGATTCTATACAGTTTAGGAAGTTGATGGGAAACTGTGAAATCGGTTTGGGAAAGTGGGTGACAAAATAAAAACAAGACGAGAAAAATTAGTAGCGTATATAAAATACCGATAGATGTAGGAGTAGGAAAAATTTAATGAATTTCGTTCTATATGTGTGGAGATAATGCATATACATTAGGGTGGGTCGAAAACACAAAATGTTTGATACGAAAATTATACACGTCTTAACAGGTGGTATTTTAATTCCTTATTCTTCAAAAGAAATCCTGGCTCTCTGCGACAATATCTTCAGCCTGCGGAATGAGCTTGAAGAATTGAAAATAACATTGTAATATGTACACCTTGTCCAAATTTTAAAGACTTGTGTAGATCAAATCTGGAACTTATTTCCTATCATAAAATTAAAAAATAATAATAATTGGACAAAATAAAAGTAAGTAACTTCAATATTTTAATAGATAATAAAATTAGGTAGGAAATAAAGATTAATTGCTTAAAGTATTGATGTTTCTTACTTTTAATTTGTCCAATTTATTTTTTCTGTGATTTTATGATAGGATATAAGTTCCGGATTTGATCTACGTAAGTCGTTGTAACAATTTGAAAAATTTATATTCTCACTCTTATTTTAATAGTGTTTTCGACCCGCCCTAATATACATATATACGAGTATAAGTAACGATGGAAAGCGCTGTAAAGAAAGCGAAGTATTATCATTGCCGATATTTTGTTTACGAGTCAGTTTATTAATTTTTCATTAAAGGTCATTGCATACATAAATATATGTATTCACCTATGCACATAAATATACGACAGAATATAAAAACGCGTTTTCAGTCAAAACGTTCCAAGATATGGTTACATGCAAAATGTCAGACCCGCTCGTAAGAAACCCATCCAATGAAAATGTTCATCAAGCCTAGATTAGAAAACGACCCCTTAAATTTTTTTAAAGACTACGATTTGAAGAATTTTATTTAGAATGGCCGGTCCCTTAATGCGGAAGTTATCTTTGCATGGCTGGTTGATATCCTTGTGAGATCAAAGGCGGCAATTCGTTATATTCTATAGATTAGAGATGGTAAGGGGACTATTAAACGCTGCAATATCTACCATAAATTCCAAGTAAAGCAAAGCAAACTCAGCGTCAGTGGAGCTACATCGGCAAGTACAGCCGCCAATCTACTTCAAGACGACATACTTCTACATACATATATCGTATATGGGTAATTTAAGCCAATGCTCCGACGGAAGAGAAAGACCTAAAGATTTATTCTATTAGTTCTTAGAGTGCGTCGACACCGAAAGGCGAGCGGTGCCGAGCGAAGCAAGGCAGAGCAAAGCAATTATGTTGGTGTTCAAACTGAGCGAAGCAGAGCGGAGCGGAGTTTTTGCGTGTAATCTGTTGAAAAGCTATGATAAAACTTACATACCTTCAATGAAAATCGGATAAAAAATATCTATTCAATTTGCTTAAATTGCTTTCTCTAAAAACACATTTTTAACCGACTTCAAAAAGAGGAGGGGCTATATATGGATTCGCCGGAATATTTCTGTTTGAATGTTACGGCATAAAATTGGGCCATGTAAACCTTTTTCGAGAATATCTCATTTTATCGGAAAGATGGTACCTCAAGGATGGCCCAAACTAAATTGGTTCAGTTCAGATCGTTGGATCCTGAATTTTTATATGAGCATTGAAATGGTTATTTTTTCATAACAAATTACTTGTTATTTAATTATTCTCAAAAAAGAGAGTTTAACATCTAAAAAAAATTCTTTGCTTTCAGCTCCAAAACGCTGCATTAATTTGAAAGCTTGGCTTTGCCTGGAAGGAATTCGCTCGTATAAGCTCACAGTGGTCTCAAATGAAAAAGTAGGGTTCAAAATAGCGTAGAGCTTCCAATTCTTAATCGATTGTAGATGTTATTTTTTTTTAAATAAACTATGCTCACCAAAATAATAATAATTATTATTTGTTTTAATTTTCAAAAAAAACTTGATATGTGCAGTTTTAAAGCCTCAGCCGCTGTGGCTGAGTGGTTGGAGGTGCGTACTACCTCTTGGTCCGAGCTACATATTACATATGTATGTACATCTAAATAAGAAAAAGTCTTTTCTGACAGCGGTCGCGCACGTCTGTGCAGCGACATCAAAAAGCTGAAATCGCAATGGAGGGTCATCGATTTCCCGGCTTGACCACCCCACTCTTGTCCTCAGCAAGCAATCTAAAAAAAAAGGGTTATGACGAAGAGTAGCACGCTGCCACAGAAAGGAAAGTTTATGAGCACAACCGGGCATCTAAGCCGAAGTTGCTTATATGATGGAAGGAAAGATGCGCCTTGGCACGTGAGTGTGTGAAGTTTGAAATGCTGGATAGTGCAAATCGGCCGAATTTCTGTAAGTACGCAACCTACGAAAATCCATGGCCACCTAATTTATCGAGGAGACACCTCTCCAATCAATTGTATGGAACAAGCGTCGGAATCTAAGGTGGGTGTGATGACTTGGATTCCTAAATAGATGATGCCGGAATGTACCTATGTTACTTTACCGGATCATGACGAAGTTAGAATTGCAAAAAAAAGGTAAAAAAGAGGCTAATATATTCAAAATGGCCGTAAGGTGCTGGTGAGATTTCGTAACAATATATGCAAGGTCTTAACGAATATATTATATGAAAGATTGTGACACTAGTGCTGATAAATCAACCATTAACCAGATATTAATTTATATACCAAGCGAGGTTTCATGTGTTGAGTGTTCTGCCTTCCAAAGACCGGATAGAGAAGCAAAGAGTGCCAAGTGTCTTAGTTTTCGCTTGCAATTCTTTTATTTTTTGATAACTTTTATTAAAAATATCCTGTTTTCCCACATTTTTCTGGCGATAGTATGTTTGCTTGTTTATAAGGCTTAAACTTACTCCATTCAATTTTTACACGTATAAAAATCAAATATTTTTCCAAAATACTTTCTCACTCACCTCACGTCCCTTCCCTTGCTGACAGTCGGCGCGCCCTCGCTTCAGCAACACTCCATCATCCAAGCTGTCCGCACTACAACGCCTTGCATATTTACTAGCACCACCACCACCACCACCGCTGCTAGGCCCACCCACAATGCCAGCAGCTGCCTCCAGCAAATGACCGCTCTTTTCGCCTGTCACATGCAGCTGATGTGTTTGTTGTTGATAGTGATCATCCTGTGGTGGATGCTTCTTCTTTTCAGTATTGTCGTCATCATGATGATGATGGCGATTGTGTTTATGGTTATGATGCTGATGTGTCGCCAGTCGACAGCAGATACGCGCATAGGTACATTGCAGCGCCTCAGCCAGCAGCGCGCCCAAACTGGAGAGGCACATCAACATGAGCGGTACACCGATGAGGGCATATAAAATGGTAGCGATTTTACCGGCAGGCGTACGTGGTGTTAAGCTGCCATGACCTATAATAAAAAAGAAATAATAGTGATTATAAATTTAGTTAGATTATCTGTGGAGGGAACTGAGGTTATCTACTTTTGACAGAAATTACGTTTGTGGCTCTATACAGAAAAGTATTGGGAGAAAATGCTGAATAGTTTCAAGCGAGTATACTGCCGACAGATATTGAGAAGACGTTTACAGCAAATCCGAATAATTTTGTGATTTCAGTAGGCTTGGCTGCTTTTGCACTGCATTTTTAATGAGAAATAGTCGTGACTAACGGGTTGGTGTAATTTGTAAATATTTGTTTTGGCTTTGCACAGTTGGAAGAAATTCTTTTTTTCATAACAAAATTCTGTCGAAGTACAAACTCTTAACCAATTTGTGTGTTTCTTTTTTTGTTGAAACCATTTAAGGAGAATTTGTTCGTAATATTAAGCTACCGGAAAAAAAAATAAAAAAAAAAAATTTTGAAGAAATCAGATTTTTCCTTTCATGTTGATGAATGCCACATCGGAAAAACTAGTTGATAATTATTATAAGATTTCCCTAAAACGAAAACAATTTAAATGTGGATTAAAAATTTTTCACTAAAACAAAACCATTTTTGGGTATACAGTTTTATAGCCTAATAAATTTTAGTTTAATAAAATGCAAGTTTTCGTTGGTTTTTAATAAAAATAAAAATAAAAAAAGCAACGTGAATTTTTAGCCGCTTGAAGCTTGTACTTTGTTACGCTAAAATTTAATAAGCAATAAAACTTGATACCTAACTTTTCTAAATTGAAAAATAAAAAATCTAATTTAGAAATTTTTTTTTTTTTTAACATTTTAAATTTTTCCTTCGCAATTTTTTCCTTTTAGGGGAACCCTATAAATGTTTTCAACTAAGTTTTATTTAGCAACCAGCCGGCCTCGTATGCGCGAATGTGTACATAAGTACGTACATACATACATATACACATTTGAAGAAAAGAAGTGACAATCCTCTTCAAAAAAATAAAGCCTTATTGCACACCTAATGGCCAAGCCTTCTCATTTGATATCTTATGTTTTTAATGCAATGAATGGTGTGGATCTTATAATTTTTTAGACAGGCGGCAACTCTATTGAAAAAATAAAACCTTGTTGCACATCTGTAGACCAAGTTCTTTCAATGGACGCCTCATTTTTCATAAGCGAATGAACTGTGCAAATCTGATGGCATTAACAAAAAGTGCCTTCACATATTGTGTGTTAGGTGGGTAGTACTTTTTAAAAGGTGGCAACCACACTAAAAAAATAGAAGCTTATTGCACATCCGGAGGCCGTATCCTTTCACTTAATATCTCATTTTTAGTCCAACGAACGGTGAAGACCTTGTAATTCTTAAAAAAGTGGCAACCCTACAAAAAAAATAAAAATATTATTTTTTTTAGACAGAGGGCAACCCTATAGAAAGTACTAAGTAACTAAGTACTAAGTACTAAAGATAATATCCCTAAATACGTTTAGTAATTTTCGGGATTCGAGTTTTCGAAAATCGAGCGAAAATATAAGTTTTTGTACATGCGAAGGTCATTCCCCTAGATTTGGTATTTCATTTTGATATCCAGCGAACTTTGAATGTCTTTTAAGTTTTATACATTTGGCAACCCTACTAAAAAGAAATTTAATTTTTGCACATATAGAATGACTCTGCAGAACTGATACCTTCCTTTATTAGTATTTAATATAATTGAACAGATAGCAACCCTACTAAAAAATCATTAATGCTTATCTAAAGGCCAATTCCTTTCATTTGACACGTAATTTTTTTTAATCCTACGAACGGTGTGGATCGTATGATTTTTATACAGGGTACAACCCCATAGAAATTCTAAATTCCAAAGATCACTCTCCTATAAATACTAAATATACTAGAGAACATCTCAAAGCCTTTTCTTCTATATTTTATTTTATTTTTTATATTTTCTGTTTTCTATTTAAATACACCAGTACTTTCTCCTTACCATCGCCCTCCGGCAAATGCAGCTAAAGCAAACAATAAAATTAAGCGCTTCCTTTCACTCAGCAATAACAACATTCAGCAAACATTTACATTCTTGCAACACGAATTATATTTGGACTATCAAATTGCAGAAAGTAGCCAATAAGGCGGAGGTAACGAGAATTTAGAAGGACAGCAGAGCAGTAGTAGACGCTTGCATGGGCGCAAAGTTAAACAAACGGGAGGTGGAGTCAAAATCCGCTGCAGGGATTGACCAGTTATTGCAGCACGAACTAGCAGCAGGGTTATATACAATATCAATAAAGGAAGTAATGGAAGTAGACAAAGTAAGTGAAGCAGTTTTGGAAATTGTGGCCAACCAGACAAATCTCTTAGTTGCACCATCGACTTCATTTTGTGGTGCAATAACATACCCATAGCAAGTATCAACACACCGCATACTTCGTTCGATGATGTGTAATGGAAGGACATACCAGCCACCTTATTTAGTCCAAACACTTGCATATGTATATACTTAGTTGGAACAGTACGGAGATTGTAGCCTAAGCATAAAGAGTAAGAGTGTGATTAGATGGATATTGAGTGCAGAAGCCATGTTGTTGTAATAGTTTGTGGCTTATATTAAAATGCTTGCCTGACGTGTCCGAACTAGTTTAGCTATTCTTGAATATGCCCACAGGCTAGAAATGGGTACAAGGGTATACATGCGAATAAATACATATATATTTATATGTTCAAGTAAGTTTTTTATATTTACATGGACAAGTGAATTGTGTTGTAAGAGGCTGGAGGGAAGTTCAACAGAAATATTGTTTATACATTGTGTATATGTTACCTTAATTGATTAGTAGACCTTAAGGTGTGTAGCGTACTACACTGTTGGAAAAATGTCAAGTTTTTAAATGACAAAAAAAGAACGCTGAAACACGTAAACTTAACTTTGAATCGAATCAAAATTTAACAAGGAGAAAAATAACATATATTTTTTAATTTGTTTCATTTGTACCATCTAAAGCTACCAACGATGAAAATCGATACATAAATAAAATTGTGAATGATCAAATGGACATGTGCAATAATATATTTATGAACGACGAGCAAATAATAATGTTACTCATACGCCATAGCGTACTTGGCCGTACCCGTTCATCATTGTAGGTACATACATAGCGTATGAGTAATATTTCAGAAGTTAAAGCTTGAATTTTTTTCATTCGCAATGCAAACTTAAAATTAAAATATCTTATTAAAAATTATCTGATCTGGAAAACGGTATACATTCTGAGTAAAATTATATAATTTTTAAGAAATTTTATGCAGACATTATTTTATCGATCAATAATGAAAGCTTCAAATATTTTCGGAGAGAAAGGCTAAAAAAAGTAAAAGAATCTGGTATCTTCGCTACCTTAAATTAATGTGATTTTTCGGGGTAAAAAGAGATAGAGCTTTATTGGAAATTTATAAATAAAGAGGTATATTAATCTTTAAGCAAATTTAGAAGTAACATTAATTTACCTATGTTCCAATAAATGGAGCTAAACCAAGTTACTGTAAAAGTAACCCTTGAGGTACCACCTTTTTATAAAATTATCCGAAATTGTTCACCTGGTCCAAAGTTATCCAGTAACATAATTTCATAAAAAAATTCGATGACTTAATAAACTACTCTTTTTTTTTGAAGTCGGTTATTAAACCTACTAACTGATAATACGAGTACAAATGTGGGAGTTTGTGAGTGTATTTGTTATTCTTTAACGCGATGGGGGCTGAACACATTTCTATAAGTTTTACCACACAGATACTGACACAGTTGCCTAATCTTTTATTTAATAAATTTTTTTTTATGAATTTTCTTTTTGTTATTAGATTTTATTGCTTTAAAAATAAAAATATAAAAATTCTTTTTAAATTCATTAATTTTTTAAAAATGGGTTTTAAATTTTTTTATTTTTGGTTTCTTTTTCACGTTTACTTTTTAGGTTTTATTGTTTAAAAAAAATATATATTTTTCTTACATATCATTTAACTTTAGGAAACTTCCTTTTTTAATTTTTTACTTACTTTTCTCTTTTTATTTTAATTTTATATTATGTTATTTTAAGAAGATATTTTTATTTGGAATTTCATTTAATTATAAAGGAATTATTTTATTTGTTTTACATTTTTAATACTCAGATATTGTTTAAAAAAAAAATTATTTATTTTCTACTTCATTTCCCTTATATTTAGTAATTTATTTTTCAAATTTAATTTTACCTATTAACTATTTAAAAAGGATAAATATTGTTTTTAGTTCACTGATTCTCTTTTAATTTAATTTTAAGATACAATTGCTTTAAAAAGATATTTTCTAATATCATTTAATTTTTAGAAAATTATTTTATTAATGCTTTCTTAGTTAATTTAATTTTATTTTAATTTCTAAATTTCTTTTTAAAAAGAAGAACTTACATATATTTTTTTATTTTATTTAATTTTGAGAAATATATTGCTAAAACACAAATATAGAAACGATACAATAATATTTAAAACTTCATTTAATTGTAAGGAACTTATTTGCTTTTTTATTTAATTAATTTATTTTTTGAATTAAATATTTTTTAATTTTAAAATTTAATCATTTAAGAAAGATACATATTTTTTAAATTGGTTAAATTTTGTGGAAACTTATTTTAGTATTATTTTTTATTACTATTCTTTAATTTTCAATTTGATCTTTAGATTTGATTGTTTCAAGGGGAAACATATTTTTGAATATCAGTTAATTTTTAGAAACTTATTTTATTAACTTGTTTTTTTTTTTACTTAGTTTCTAGTTTTTAACGTTTTAAAAAGAATTTTTTTTTAATTTAATTTTGAAAAACTGTTTGCTAAAACACAAACAGAATAACGCCAAAATCTCCTCGTTGGCAAATTTTTCAGTTAGTCTTTCGACAGACAGAATTGAGAATTGACAATTGTCTTGCGAAATACTTTCATCTTTCAAGAGACTATGGTGAGTTGAATGACAGTTGTCAGAATTACCTT